AATGTTATTCAAATCAAAATGCATTTTGTGTTGCGTTATTTCACAGAAGTATTCACATAAACAAGGTCTTGGGCTCCAAATTTACTTTCAGTGACTAATTCTATATTTGTGAAAATGCAACTGGGGAAAAAGCACAAGGTGAAAATCTCCATAACAAAAAATGATTAAGTTAAAAAAACAACATAAAAAAGCTATTTTGTGCAGATACGGCACTGTGCATCCTACACTATACAACCCCTCAGAATAAAAGACTGACCCTTATTCAATATACTTCGACAACAATAAAGAGGAAAAATGCTACGGTATTGGAAGACAAGAAGCAATTTCAACCTGGGAGTAATCGTTAGCAGTGACAACAAGTGACTGTGGCCCCCAACCACTTTGACCCCGTGCCATCTGGCTGATAAAGGAATAGACAGCAGACGCAAGGGGAATATGGTACTTTCATAAGGAATCTGACATCAAATCTGAATCAAACAAAAATATTGCAATGCATTTGTACTAATTGACTCCAAAAAAAAAAAAATGTCACTTTGAATTATAGCCTTAAATGAAGTTTTAATATTTGCTTTGAGCTATTAATTGAAATACTACACGAGCCTCATCCCGAAAAGTGCGCGTAGTAGACCGTAAGAAAAGGCTTAGAAACTGCTAGAAGATATGCATATCACAGAATACACTTCTCTTTAAAATTGAAATAGTACGAAAAGAAGCCATTTCAAAATGAAGACCGTTTGTTCTGTTCCTCGCAATCTTTTCTACAAATACACATTATAAAAATGGATTTGAGTATTTTTAGCATTTAAACACACACACATATTTGGGTATCTGCATGTTGTCCTGAATGGGAGGATGCAATATTTTTTTTTCAAATGATGCAAATACATGTGTTTTACCATAGCAGAGCCATCTGAAGGGAAATGACATCCATTTTAACCTATACTGCCTACATTTTTAATCATATTAGCAAATGGAAAAAGAATCAAAACAGTGATAAGGACCAGAAATCAAAAGGGGGCTGTAAACATCCTTGAGAGAAAAGAATTATGCTAATTACAAGACACAAAATGATGTAAGGTTCACAAGCCATATCATTCATATCACAGAGAATGCTGATATTCACTGTGTAAAATATTGAACAGGGAATGGTGTACCTTTCGCTTTTAATGCTAACCACAAAGCAAAGCCAGAATGCCAGGTATTCTAAAAAGTTAGAGGGAACACATATTAAAAATTGTTCAATTGGTCATTTGATTCAAAGAAAAGTACAGTTGAACCTGTGTACAACGAAATCACAAGGGAGCCTGAAAAAAAAAAATCCGGCATAGCATTTTCTGTCTTAGACAAGGAAATTTACAGGGAGATGGAGGGGGGTTTCAGAGGCTAAGTACGTGGGATCAAGAGTCACTTGTCCAGTCGGCAAGCAGCGGTAAAAATTTCTCATCTCTCACATGCTACCCTCTCCGATACTGGCATGTGCCAGTCCTTATTAACCATTGCCACTAGAGCTTACATTTCATAGGACCACTGTTTGACGTATGATTAAAAACAGAACCTTTTGAACATCTTTGCTTCCACCCTGAGCACCACCCATCACTGTAATATTATATAGAAACAACCAATGCCACCCTTTCCGTGCATGTAGCAACGATTCAAGGTGCTCTTTTCTCTGCTGGTCGTACGACCAGAGAAGCAGGCATAGGTCAAACAAATTTCCTACATCTGGCCTGTGGCTACACATGAAAGCTTTCAGGCTGGAGTATCACTCAAGCACTTTCACAGGCACTGGTGAGATTTCACACCCACACCACACTGACCATCTGCACCACTACGGTCTCACATAGAAGTGGCAACATCTATCCCTACATTGCACCCCTACTCCCATTCTTTGCCTGGCGGTATGGCCCACAGGTTCAAGGTGATAGTTTTGTTTCAAATCAGGGCTGAGAAGGCAAAGCATTTTCCATCTTAGACCAGCAAAAACCCTCCAAAATGAAGGAATTTCTCTTTCCGTTTCTGCATGAGACGAGTCTCCATATTTAAAGGTAGGCCTAATATATTAAGGGGGGAGCGAGGAGATTTTGTTATGACAAGTTTCCGTCCTACACAAGTTACCCTTAAGGCAATTTCAACTGTTTTGATAATGGTCATTAAGTGTTAATTTAAAAAATCAAGAAGGCTTGACAAAACAGCAGGATGGTGATGAAATAGGACCTACAAAAGCCATTATCCAACTGCTCACTCACAAGGAGAAAAGATGATTGAGAACCATCAGGATATTGCAGTCCCATTTCTAAAGGAAAATTTCCATTACATTTACAGCAAAGGATGGCTCTTCAGCAACAGAAAATAAACAAAATCAAAGGTTTGTTTTTTTTCAACATTGCAACTCAATACCACGATATATCATAATACCAAGGAAGCTGCGATTAAAAACATCCCAAACAAAAACAACCAAGGCAAAACAAAACAGAAAATTGTTTACAGGATGGGCGACATACATATATTTATAATATACATACAAAACTAATAGATCTAAAATCTTTCTTAGCCATATAATCTTTGACTAACCAAACACTAAGATGTTTTTTATCCGAGAAAAATGCCTCACATTTTCAGACAACATTGATATGCCATTATGTCAACAAACATCATATGTAAAGCCAATAGGACAGGCAATGTGACAAGAATAGACAAAGACTATAACGTTGATGCTGTTGTTGTTACACAATATTTGCCAGACAATCATACCACTTACTCTCTGATCATAAACAACTGTCTCAACTCATGAAACATCATTTACAGCCAAGTTAAAAATCAAGTGACATTACAGAGAGGAATAAAAGTAATTTTTCACAAGGATATTAGCATTTGTATTACATGTTGTACGGCCAAAAAAACGCTCATAATTCCATTGAGCATCCCACTCCTTAATAACTAAACGTGAAAATATTTGTGCCTGGGAAAGAAGCACAACTGTTAAAAGGAAACAGCACCAAAGAAGTCATGAAATACTGATGTTCTCCTGAATTCAACTCTGCATCATTCCGTTTCTTTCATTCGTTTTTTAAATCTGAAAATAGGAAAAATAATGCCTAAATCAACTAAAATTATTTTGGAAGCCACATTCTGAAGTATGACTTCATCAAGTCCCATGTGGGGAGAATTTTTATCAAGAATCTCCTACTTCCTTCTAGGACTTTGTATCTCTCTCAGTCCTGGGGTCGCCTCAAGAGGCAGGTCAAAGCAGCCTGCCTCCTAAATTCTCTAAACAGTGTCAACAGAGGCATAAAACTTCAGCAGAAATTACACATATGACCCATGAAATACCTCTCTGCATCAAATAATACTGACTGGCATCTGTGGTGTAGCAACTAGACGCTTTTCTGTCGCACGTAGGAGACCTGAGTTTGATTCCTGGGTGGGGAGAATTTTTATTCAGTATCTTGGACTTTCTTCTGAGATGTTGTATCCTTCTCAGCCAGTATTGGGCCTGACATGCGTGTTTAGAAGCCTGCCTGCCTCTTAAGTGATCTAAATTGTGTCGATGGGGGCATGAAAACACTTAAAATAGAAAAAAGATAAAAACAGAAATTATCCGTTTTGCAGTGGATTCCTGTACTTTCTACAAATATGTTCTTTACGGTTTCAAAGCTCATTCTTTTTCACTTTCCAATTTAGAATAGTCAGTAGCAACATATGTCATTTTTCCCCAAAATGTCCACGAAAATAAACTGCCTCCCTTTAAACTTATTTTTCCCCAATTTACACATTGCACAATTCCTAAACAAAGAAACAAGACAAATCTGCCAAATATTCAGAGAAATATAATATATAATATATCAATAACTTCCGGGGGAACACATTTGAATGTAGGCCTATAGCTGATAGGATCAGCAATTTTAACAGGGTTGTTTGTATTGTTATTTCTATTCTACTGCTTTTGTATCATCAGTGAACATTTAAAATGTGAGAGGAAAGATTTTTAAAAGAAATATTGTTTGTGGATCATTAAATTTTGCTCCATTTTATTTCTATATCTTCAAACTGATTCACAGGGTTACAAATTAACTACGTCCAAAATGTTTCAATAGTCGAAGAAAAACATTAGGTCCTAAATGAGTTTTAAAAACTTAAAAAATATCTTTAGCTGTGAAATGACAAGTTATTCACAGAGATCTAACATTTTTTTAAAGTCTTAAGATGACAATGAGTCTGGATTTCCCAGGCCACTACACACCTTAGAAAACAGAGACCCTAATTTTGTTCTTCTTCATTAATTACTTTTGACAAAATGTTCAACCTTACAGTGGTGGAAAAACAGAGCACTCCGTGGACCCCTGAGGCAGTAAAACAGGATCATTATGTTTCTGGGGGTGATGTTTATAATATTTTTATTTATATGTCTTAAAAACATACTAATGAAATCTATATTGTTTCTACTCGCAGAAGGTATCTTTTTTCGCAAGTAATTTTCCATGATCTTAAAGTTAAGTAGTAGCTTCAGCATAGGTGTCAATACAAAAATTACTGGGAACAACAAATGTCAGCAGTGACATTCATCAACAAAGAGTTGAATTAAAGCTCTGACAGGCTCAAAAGTTCACTTGGAAGAAGTGAAAAGAGTGTTCAAGAATCACAGAAGAATACAGAACACATACACACACACACACACACACACACACACACATATATATATATATAATATATCCAGGCGACCCCCACCTTCCTCAATCGCAAATATCTCAACTTTTTTTCAAGATAAACGGATAGCCTACTTCTTTCAACAAAAAGCAAGACAAATGAACAAGCTTTAGGACGATGCCAATAACTCCGTCTGCCAAAATATTGAAGAGCGCCTGATTCTACCGTGTCGTGATACAGAAGTAGATTTCGATTCCAGATCAATATTAAACAGTATAACACGGATAGGTCTAACAGTGAAGACTCGAAATCAGGCATCTGTCGAACTGTGCCTGCTGTCCTGTTTTGGTGGGGGGTTTTCTTTATCTCTCATACTACGTATCCCTTGAACTATCGTGGCCAGTCCCGGCGAATTCGAGCTATCCATGTTATACAGCATATCGATATGAAGTATATATCTAGATGGTATCTTGACTAGCAGATCAAGATTTCTCAACAATAGACATCTAGATTCAGATAACTTACAATAAAAAAACAAAAATTTTAATTCAGTTTTGAGAATGACAGAAGAGGATCTTAGACCTGCAAATACAAAACAAGCAGTGACTTTATCAGAAGTTGTGACAGGTACTAAAGGCACCATGCACAAGTGAGTCTAATACTGTAACTGAGTTACACTTATGAACTGAACATCACAATTCTTTTTCCCCTTCTAAATCTTAAAGTATCACCATTAAAGTCAATAAACCATCTGCATCTGAATTTGACGGCAGAACTTATTCTACTAATGGTAACGGTATAAAATTGGGCACATGAAGTGTATAGACAATTTTCATCCTATTTCCTTAAAAATGACAAATATAGAGATGTACATGTCGTAACCACCATACAATAGTAATAGTAGTCGAGGGGAGCGACGTATGTTGCGAAAGCCACAGTAAAGGATAACTGACTGCAGTGCTCTTCTAGAACGTATCAACGAGAGTGTCACTAGTCACACGTTCTGAGAAGGTAACATTCACCCACATTAATTATTTCTTTAGGATCAGAAGACATCAAATTTCTTTTCTCCTCTTACCACAGCAAGCAATCTTCAGGCCAAAAGGACAAAAGTTTACAATCTCACTGCAATCGGAAGACGTCTTATACAACAAGGACTCTTTCTTACATGATAGATCAGCATTTTTAAAACAATAAAGCCACAGATATGTGTGTATATGTGTATATAAATGCAACTTTGATTCTCTGCAGTATCATTTGGAACGTAGAGAGAGACGTCACATCACTCTGATCATCTTTCTTAAAAAACAAGTTGGAGACAAACCACAGGATAAAGAGTTGTTAACCCTTTAAGCATCATGTTAAAAAAACATCCAGTGAGTCATCAAATAACATTTTGAAATCACACTGCAAATAAGACTTCTACAAATCAATTTCATCTTCTTCGATGAGTTTGCGGCGTTGGTACAGTCGGTACTGAATCTTCCATTTGCGGTAGCTGAGAAAAGCTGAGAGCCCATGAAGTAACATGCACAAGTACCCAAGAATCTGGAAAAGATATAAAACATGTACACATGAAATAAAAAGCAATTAAAAAATTTTTTGCAAGACTCAAAACTCACTACACCAAATTTGGTTCTTTCAAAGGCAAGAAACAAGAAAGCAGAACGAAAAAATGTAATAACCGCACACACTCACGCACGCACATGCACGAGCAAATGCATACACACACACACACACACACACACACACACATATATAAAATGCACACACACACACAGAGTAAAGTATTACACATGTATATATATGTGAGGCAGTGTGGTGGAATCAGGCTCTCGTCAAAATAATGAAATCGAAGAAAATAGCAGTTTTCTCCCTGCCTCGCAATTTTTATCAAATTTTGGTTTTTTAGTTCAGCACCTTTTAGGTCCATTCTTTTTTTTTTCTGGACATCATACCTACATACTTTTTAATACAGATCAAAAGTACAAAATTTTTGCAACCTACAATTCAACATCTTTTCTTTAACTTACCACTGAAGTGACTAGTTGACTTATTGTGTCTTTTGACACATCTGTCTTCATCTTCTCGTAGAAATCGAAAGCACTGGCGACGAGGGATGAGCCCACGAGGTAGAAAAAGGCAAACAGAGAGTAAACAATCATGTCCTGAAACAGAAAACATTCAAGTTCAGTTTATTCACCTTAACATCAGTAATACTTCACTACAGATAAACACAAACAACTGAGTGGCAAACATAGATAGTGAACCTCCTAAGGCTTTTTCCTGAGGTATTTTAATATAATATAGAGTTTTAAAAAATTTAAAAAAACCCACTTAACACTTTGCAGTCACACAGCTAGCAGTAGAATATAGCCCATCTGGTCACCCAGCCAAGAGAGCCACTGCAACGGACTTCTCGGGCCTGGCGCAGTGACCGGAACGGATAATTTTCACCGCCGCATTATTGTGCCAAGTGACCGCAAAGTGTTAAAAGGACTTCTCAACTTCCATTTCAATATTATATATATATTCAGTATCATAATAAATCTATTTTGATGACATGCAATACTGAGTTGTTAACGACACGTATCTACTTAAAATCTCTAAATATATCGTCACCATTGTGATAAGACCACCTATTCTTTTTCTTAAAAAAATAAACCTGGTTACATTATTTTTATATTTGCAGCCAGCAAGAAGAAAATTGCAATAACCTTATTCCAAAAGAATAAGTATTAACATTAAAAGAGTTTTTGTTACACTTTCTGACAGATAATCTTGATGTGGCAGATTCACTCATTTGAAGGTAAAGATCTTTACAAAATGAGCTCGCCTGAGAAGACAAGAACAGGTCATTACTGGGCTCAAACTCAAAAAGATGCTTGACAATTTTTTTATTATATGTGAGTGCCCGGTGAAAGGTACCAAATGGCGCATTTTAAAGAATCATGTTCTTTTGAATTTTCAAGTACAGTGATCATAGATATCTTCAGCAGTTTTTTAGATATATGGGTGATTTTGTAAGGCAGGGTACAGAAACAAAGTTTTGAGAAAAACAGCTTTAAAGTTTCCCCTTTGTTTCTGCTTCAAATAGACAGATCTATGCTTTGAGATGACCTGACAACACATTCACTACTCACAAACCAACTTTAAAAAGCAGCTAAGATAAACGAACAGCTTCAAAGTATTTACATTACATCTTTAAAACCACCACCACCTTGAACAATAATTTTCTAGAAATATATCTACGTTTGTGCAGGGCAAACATAGACGATACAAGTTTGCTCTCCAAAGAAACACAAGGGTGTGAATGCACAAAGCTTTGATTTGTTTACATGTTCTAGATATTCATGAACACTACCCGCCATTAGAGAGGGGAGAGAATGACCTAAATTTTGGAATGCATTGAGAATGGGTCGAATTTATGAATGGACAAGAGTCTGCGGAGTTTACTCGGAAATCCAATTTTCTCACACACTTTTTGCGATTATGCAATATACCTCGAGTTTAACATCTATAAAAATGTATTTTAAAGTAAAAGAAACTCAATTCCTTGTAAACATTGATATATTAATGGCTAAAGAATCCATTTTTGCAGGAACTTAGTTTTTGTCAAGATTTCTATTTCTGACCTTTGAAGCCTGATATCTCGGTTCAAATAATTTTTAAGCGTCTTTTGGTACCTTTCACCAGGCACGCTCACATATTGTTATACGTATAATGAGAATAAATCGAAATCACAATGTAAATATAAAGCTATTCAATAAACTACAAGCCTCAAGATCACTATGATACCAGTCAGATGATTCAAGTTCTTACAAAGAAGGTCCATTCAAACCCGAAGATTGTAATAAGAGAGGTGATGTTGCCAAAGAAGAGGGTAGCGATGACTAGCAGAGTGAGCACCAGGACAAATATCATGATGCGAAAATGCCAGCTGAGTGGAAGGTTCAGAAGTCCTCCTTCCTTTGCACCTGAGCTCACAAGACACACCAATGTCGCAATGGTCATTATCTGGGGAGAAAATCATTGACGTATGAACAAAAATGGTTGAAAGAATAGAGCACTACTCTTTAACTTAAAATTTACATTTCAGTAAGTTTTTCCAAACATTCTTCAGTAACACGATTATAACTTTTGAATGCTGTCAATAACTTAGAATTGCTAATTTGTATTCAGTTTGTACTGATCCTAGAAACAGTCATGTGAAACTTTGTGCCTTTAAAACCCTGTTTATACCGTCTACCTGGGGACATGTATGAAGTTGGCAGTACAGCGGGACTGGCAGTATAACACCAGTTGCCATTTTGGCTAGTGATAGACAGGAAGAGTCTCAAATAGAGACAAATATGTGGCCAGTCTTGATTCATCTTTCTATCTTGTGCAATAACCAAGCTTAGGGGAAAAACCAATTGCAACCAGTTACATGAGCAGCTCCGGCTGAACTTTAGTCCTAGGTAAATTCAATTTGAAAATGTCTGCCGGATCAGAGGCTAAGCTATAAAGTGTCAAGGACCCTGTTGACGTACAGTAGAGACCGATGGTGGGATCAAAGAAAAAGTCCTGTTATATCAGATCCCTGTTAAATCAGAAATGCAAGGAAAGTAAGCATTTGTGAACTAATCCAGCTGTATTTATTCATGGGTAGTTTTCCTTCCACAAGTACCCACACCGCAGTCCTCTCTCGTGGCCATTAGGCAGTCCTGTCACAGTCCTGTGCATGACACATTTCACGTGCGAGTAGCAAGATTAATACGGGGAGCTCATTACAGCTGGATCTGGCCCATCGCCTGACTCGGTCTCCTGAAGCTGAAAACAAACGCGTTTGTTTATGAAACTGAAAACAAACACGCTCGTTTTTTAAGCGACGCCCGATCCGCCCATCCGATCCATAGTGAATGATAGTGGGCACCCCGTATTAGGGCTAGATCAAAGTCTGCAGCACACCGCAGCGCTCCCTCATTTGATCTGTTGCGTCTCTTTCTCTCTATCTATCTCTTAGTTTTCACACATTGTTAACGAGTATTTGTCCCTGCTATAACCGATTGGGCTCCGATGAGGCCCTGTTATTGCCGATAACTTTTAATAGAGAAAAAGAGTCGGAAAAAAAGGGAGTTTTAAAAAACCCTGTTATTACCAGATCCCTGTCATTACTGGGCCTGTTATATAATGGTTTCCACAGTACAGTTTTGGTTTTTTTTTCTTCCCCGATACTCATCAGTCTTCGGGCCACCTATAAACCTTTCACATAGACTTTTAAGCCTGAGTCCTCACCAAAAGGTTCACGAGTGCCTTCTAATCTTTTCTGGTCATGGAGCAGACGTCTGGTGACGCCAGATACTTTGAAAACAGGCCAAGGTGGCACAGTTCCTTTGAAGTCTCGCCAGGTGACTTTAAATTTTAATTGCCGAGGCCTAAAAATAATAGCATAAAACCAGGAGCAAATCAACAACAAGCTCTACAAAATGCAGAACACAATACATTTTGGAACATTCACATCAAACATTAAATAATTACACTGGAAGGCTAAAAGTCATAGACTCAAACAAAGGATGTGAAAGTGAACACATTTTTTAGAAGTTTCAGAGAAACTCACCAACTGCAGGGACTGTAGGAAGCCAGAACATGTGACCAGGTACCCGAGGTCCCAGACAATAATAACTCTTTGCTCAACATTTTCTTCATGGTTTGGAGCAGACATCCGAGCTCCCTGTGGCGGATACATGGGGTGAGTCTGACAATGTGAGTGGGAGCCCTGACGACGATGACCCATGCAAGATGCAGAACATGGCTGCATTTGACATCCTGACTCCCTGCGTCTTCCACTCGATGAGGTCCTTCGTGCAGTTTTGACAGATGTGGAACTAGTTTGTGTTGTGTCTGCTTCAGATGGGCCCTCATAAAATGGATTAGTAATGCTTGTGCAGGAGGAACTCTGTGATTCTGAGGCAGAGCTGAAACGAGACAGCTCTTCGCTTATCGTATTGTCGTTCTCTTGCTCCGTCTCGGCAGATTCCCTGCTCCCATCCATTGTTTAACCCGATGTATCCCTCGCCTTATTAAAGACGTGTGCCTATAGATCTAAAGCATTTTGATTAGGTTAAAAATTTTGAATTCGGAGGCAATCATTGCATGTAAACGTTAAAAATCTGATGTCGATGGAAACGGTGCTTCAGGTCCCAGTCTGTAGCAGTACGGCAGCCATCGTAACCCGGAAGTATTCCGTTGAAGCCTGTCTTTTGTTTTTGTTTTCATTTCTTCTTATCGCTTATGCTCTTGTTCATAATGTTTGAGTTCAGTAAAAAGCGATAAATACTATCATTTAGTCTTCAAAAAATATTCTGGAAACGTATAAATGCAAAGTTAAAATATTTCAGGGGGAAAACTTTCTATATTGGTGCCAATACATGTAAATACCTTTTTGTTAATATTAATGCTCACGTGATTGGTTCAAAATGGCAGATAAACATTGATGCATCATATCGTACCGAGTCAGCTGGGTGTTGCCGGTCGGAATAGCAGTGTTCTGGGATGTAAATCAATTTATTGATACTTATTCCTACTACTGACTGCTGGATCAATTTAACCATGGCTGACAAAGAATATGCTCCTTTAACAGCTGCATGTGTCAGAGCACTCGTCGATAAATTGTATGAAAAGCGAAAGGGTGCAGCTCTTGAGATAGAACGGTTTGTATACACACTGTATTGTATTGTATTGTTCTTAGATCTAGATCTAGATTCTAGATAATCCAGACTACATCTAGATCTAGAATTTAGATCTAGATTTAGACTCTAGAAATTATTGAGGAACATTGAAGAACACCGGACCTCTCAACTATTGCGCAAGAATGAGGAGGGGGGGTTCAGAGGGGTCTCCCCCGTGACAGACTTTTAATGAATCGCTGTGACGCAGTGGCTATGTTCACTGCACCGTGAACGTAGTTTGCAGGCTACGTTCACACGGCACCCTGATGAATCATCCACCATTGTCACAGAGGCACGACTGAAGCACTATGGTCGCTCAAACTCAAAGTGATTGAGTGAGGAAACAGCACAGGAATACCAGTTCTAAATCTAGTCTAGCGTGAAAAATTTATAATGCTACGGCACGGTGGTCTGAATGCAACGGAGTTTACGAAGGACGAAGGAAAGCACAGTGAAACAGCCTCGGTCGCCAAGGCCTTGCTCGCTCAGCGCGCGGAACACGACTTCCATCCTCTTCACGTGTGCGAACCCGGCAACGCTTGACAATACATTTGAAAATAAAAGTCGGTCGAAGAAACAAGGGAGAATGAAAGAAGGCCAAGGCGGGAAGAGGGGTGGGAGGGGGTGAAGAAAAGCTCAAAAGATTCAAAGGGAAAAAGGGTAGGGGGTGATGTGAGCAAGATCGTTTTTAAATTGCAAACAACATTCAGGGGGCCGTGAATGTAGCCTACTTCTTTTGTATTTCTTGCTTGTTTAAATGTCTGTTGAACACAAATGGAATCATGAATGAAATGGACTTTATCTCTGCCCCAAAATTACTTTTCGAGTTATCGATGGTTTTTATAGGAGACGAACAAGCCATAGGCTGTAGATCTAGTAGGCTCAATCCCAAAGTCATCATAGATCTAGTAATAAAATATTTCACTTGTAAACAAACTGTGGGGTTTCACTTCAGGGGGGCTTACTATGACCTAAAAAGGCCATCGAGTCCGAATAACATTTTTTCAAATTCGGACTCGAGTCCGAATAAAAAAATTTCATATTTGGACTCGATTCCGAATAAGAACAAATGTTATTCGGACACTGGTCCGGAAAAAAGGAGTGTCTTCGTTCCATAGATCTAACTTTCAGTGCTTCCAATTTTCCACCATTTTTTAGTTTCCCCCTCACCTTGTCTGCCGATCCGATGCCCGCCGCCTCATTGATACGCCCCCCCCCCCACCCCCCATGTTTCCCATTTTCTTTGAACAGAAAAAGGTAAAATTGAAGATTAGCAGATCTCCTGGCACCTGCATATTATGAGCTGTGTAAAAAAAAAGACGATTCGTTCAAATACACAAACCAAGAAAAAGTTGTGTTGCTGTGTAGAGCCGAACATACGGCAACTTTTGATTCCATAGACCAGCGCACAATTCATTACGTAGATCTACATCAAGACTAGCTTATTATTGTAATAATGATCAGCTGCCGGGGGGGGGGGGACTGACGCGTATGCGACGTTCAACGCCCGGACCGATAGCGCCGCCCCCCTTCCCCGACACGCACACACAGCCACACATGTGCAGGCGGCCCATCCGGCCCCGACACACGCTAATGAGCCATCTTTAATTGCTTCTGATGACCTCTCTTGACAAATAAACATTTATTAGAAGCGCTCTAACTTTTCAGGCCGGCCTCAAATTCATCATAAGATAAGAACTCGGCTCCAGCACAATTTAACACCATTTTGCCCAAAGTGATCCCGGTCTCTACCCAGCCTGAGGCAAGTCACGAGTGAGGCAGGACAGGAAGCCGGGGGTCACGAGTCACAGGAAGTTGGAAGTGATGTCATGCTGGACAAGAATCAGGGTCCGAATAACATTGTTTCATATTCGGACTCGAGTCCGAATAGTCTCTTCGACCTAAAAAAAATCTGATGGGTTGTTGGCTTTTCCTGCCCCTACTTCACCAGAGCAAGATCAGAATGAATTAAAATACATTGTATGGTATGTGTTCAAGGAACAAAAGGACCTGGAACACAGTGTCATCCTTGCTGTTATACAGTTATTAACAGTTGGAAACTGAATGTGTATATATGCATTTTGCCTTGTTACTTTTTAAAAAAATATTTTTAATCAGATCATAGTCAAATCACATGATGAGGCTTCTCAACTTATAGGAAATTATGCTCAAGCCAGCTTAGCTCTAGCTACACAGGTCTGTTGGAAATTAAACTTTTTTTAATGTAAAAAAAAAAATGTGGTGACTTTTCTTTTCCAAAATGACTCTCTTTGGCCAGAACAGAACAGGTGGCCATTTATTCAACATCATGTTTGTCCCTTTTCCCAGAACCCATAGATGGGCTGACAGTATAGTGAACTGAACTTTTTCTGAAAATACTAACAGTGTTTGAAAGCAACATTTTAATGCTTGCACCCAGTACATTTTCAGATTTTGACAGTACATTTTTACTTTCACTCCCTATCACAGATGCACTGCTTTGGGGGTCAGACTGCAGTATTTTTTGCTGCAGGTCACACACATGCCAGTCATGCCACTAAAACTGTCGCAAATCAATTATTTTCCCCAAAAAAATCGTACTTAACCAGAAAATATATAGAATCATGGGTTAAAACAGGGACCCTGCACCATTGGTTTAAAGCACACAAATTACTACTCGGTTAGGGTTTGTGTGATATAGCTTAGTTAAAAACCATCAAGTATTTCAAAAATTGTTAATTTGCGACGAAAATGAAGTTGATGTTCTGGTTCAACACGTCAATATTCTCATTGAAAAAGGACAGCTAGCGGGTAGCTAAGTGTGAGACGGGAGTTTTAAAGTAAAAGAATACCACGCATTTTGACATATATTGCGTTATCCTAACAGATAACTCAAAATTGTGGACTTACTTCATTGTAATTTTGGCCATGTGACACTAATATTGATCAAATGCATTTCTTTTTTTCATGCCATAACTGGTTATATTTAGAAAAGATTTAGTAAATAACGGTCAGTACGCCTTGTGTTTTCTGGATGCAGAGTTGTGAAAGAAATGCTGGCAGGAAGTCAACTGGATCAGATTAAAAAACTATTACGACTTTTGGGAGAGGATTTTGCATGCTCACAGAACCCCAACACCCGCAAAGGAGGTCTCATTGGGTTGGCTGCAGTAGCAATTGGCCTTGGAAAGGTAACATTTTCTTGTTTTACTTTTTCATTCAATTGTTGATTTGCTCTCTGTGATTTCTTGTCGTTGACGTTTGTTGTTTTTCATATGCTTTTGTTTGTTAAAAGTTTGTTGGGTTGTTGTTGTTTTTTTTTGGGGGGGGGGTTTATGTGCAAGATTTCATGATAATTATTCTCATGTTGCTGTATGACTTCTATTATTTATAAACACCTTTAAGGGGGCATAGCTGTCTCTTTTCTGCTAAATAGCAGAAACTCTGCTACCTCCGCTTCATCTAGCTTACCTCCTTCCTCCGCTGGACCCCTCTTGGTAGCAAATTGTATGCTTTTTTTACATGCAGAAAACACTGAACCGGGAGTGAGAAGAAAATGTGGCTTGCACATGTCCGCCCGAAGCTTCCTCCATCTGCTCTGTGCGTAACGCTAAAGTTTCACATAGATATCTATTGTGGAGCAACAGTGTGGATTGTCAATTGAGCATCGGTACGATGGCGCACTGAGTTGTCATTGAAAACGGCGGAAATTGGAGAGAAATTGATGCAGAACGTAAAAATAAATATAGCTGGATTGAGAAAAAAACAAAGGTGTTCGACTTCAGCTGTTCTTAAAAAAATTGAACAAGCCGGGTGCTGCACTTTGCGTTTTCCATAAAGAAATCTCGAACAGTGGCAAAGGTGTTGCCTCCTTAATCCAATACTGCTCCACATCGTTGCACAAGTCGAAAGTGAAAGAAATCTTTTTATGAGACACTAGCTGGCAACAAACGCTGGATTTTTAGTCACCAAACTGGGTCAAATACTTGTTAGTGTCTTGGGGTTGTTTGGTTTTTTTTTCAAATACATTTTAATGTAGTATTGTTAACAAATATGACACTTTTCCCTTCCAAAGACAGATGTTCCATGATATTACCTCTGGATCTCACTGGTTTTACTCCAGCCTTCGGAGAGCGCGCATACGCCTTCACATGAATTTCCTCCTTTTTTAAAATCCCTTAGTGGCAGCTATGGGAGAAAAGGCCACATAGCGTCTTGGGGGGAAAATGTCTCGATGTTCTGTGAATACTGCACTCAGAAATCTCCTCCTTGGATATATTCATTTTTCCCTAGCATACGGAGCAGACACTCCTTATTACCTGTCATTTAACTGTGATCCAATATGCCTGGACAAGAAGGAAAAAGAGTGCAACAGTTCTCTTTGAAAAAAATGAAAAGGATTATGCAGAAAGCTCTCTACAATAATTCTTAGCAACCAAGACTGTGTCTTTATTCTCTCTCCATACTTAATCACATTTGGAAATGAAGAGATATAAGCAATACGTACCAGTATTGAACCTAAAATTTCCAAATGTTTCTATGTTGTCCATTACCATAGTTCATGATGTGCATCCTTCATGTCTTGTGGCGATTTATTGGTCACCTAAGTAAAGAATGATTTTTAAAAATCTCTTTCAACATCTGATTTCTGTAAAATGTTTCCTTATATATGCAATTGTTGGCAGCAGTAGTCTGAATCTGTCGCCTTGACATTGAAGAGTTTTGAAAATTCTTATATCTTTGCTTTTCTGAGGTCAAGTCAGCTGGTGCAAAATATGTTCTGAACCTTGTCATATGAAAATTTTGCGTAATTGTAAGTTTTTGTCTTCTATATATATATATATATATATATATATATATATATATATATATATATGTATATGTTTTATTGTGGTATGTTGCAGGAGTCGTGCACCTACATCGACAGCCTGGTGCACCCTGTTGTCATGTGCTTCCATGATGGGGACAGCCGTGTACAGTACTACGCCTGTGAGGCGCTCTACAACATTGTCAAGGTGGCTAGGGGAGCAGTGCTCCCACACTTCAACGAAGTCTTTGATGGACTCAGCAAGGTAGCTTATAGTATGGAGTATGATTTCTCTTTCATGTGTCCTTTGCATAACTCAGCATTTATGATTGAACATGTGAGGTGGCTTGAAAATTTATACATCACTCATGTTTGTGTCCAAAATCAAGTGCTTTATCATTTTTTCCTTGTGTCTGCTGATGGCTACAGGTAATCAAAAAGTACTACATCTACACAGCAAGTATGGAAATGTGTTCACTTGCCTTATCTTTTCACAGAAGTAGGAGTATTGGTGGTTTCCGCCAGAAAAGTGTCTGTTGTTATAACTTTCTAGTCTGAATGTTTTTTTGTTTTTTTTTAAGTTCCAGTAGGCTGTATGGTGGGTTTACATAACAGGGGTTTCTTTTTTAATCTTTCATTTTCTTACCTACCTCTACCACTAGCAACCACAGTTATGTAATAATTAACACTCCTTTAAAGGGTACATAAATTTTATGAAATTGTGTGTATATCTGGAGACTGCTATCTTTCAGTACACTTCACTTGAGTTGTGTTTTGTGTTGTACTAGACACAGAATTACTTTGTTCTGTCTCTGATATGAGCTATAAATGTACAGGAGCTCCAGAGCTCCAAATGCATGATGGCTTAGGCAGAATTGTTAATCTGTCTGTCAGACCAAGGGAGCTTAAGTAAACTAATCATTTCAAGATCTGGTGACCATCACTCAAAGGATCAAATCTACTACTCTTTCTCATTAGCACTGTTCAGGATTTGCCAAAAAATATAATTATATGGATCCTTGTATCAGTGACCATTGGCTCAGATATGAAGGGTCTAGTGAAGAACAAGATAAGTCCATTTTAAGAGGAAGTCAGATAAAAATCCTTTTGATTCACAAACTGTTTTTGTAAAAACAAATCAAGTTAAGAACAAGTAAAGTCCACCATAAAAATAAGGCTGTTAGGGTAGATTAAATGTGACGTGGCCTGTTTTTCACCTGATACTATCATATGAAAAAAAAAGTTCCCCTTGCTTACAGAGTACGAGAGGAATAAAAAATATAGAAGCACTACTCCCCAGCTTGGGATCCATCCTCTCTAATTGTGAAAGAACACATATGTGTCACGACACTGTGGAATCTGGCGCTCGTCAATTTTTGGGCATGTGGAGTTACCGGTGGCATCTGAAATCTGATTTATTTGCCTTGCTTCCAATGAAATAAACCTTTTATCTTGAATAGAACTCTACATATTTGCGATTAAAGGAAGTTTCTCAGATTTCGTTATTTGGACGAGCACCTGATTTCACAACGCTGTCTCACATATATAATATATGACCACCTACTCCAAGGTATTTTTGTTTGGTATTTAGTGTAATGTATCATCTCTATCTTCTTTTTTTCTTTCTTCCTTCTTTTTTTCTTACCACTGGGTAATGTGCTCTTCTTTTTTAAGTGATTTTTTTGTGTCTCGTAGGCTATTGCCCTTGCACTTATGACAGGTGATTGGAAGGTGCCACCGATAAGGGTTTTTTTTCCTAGTATTAAAGTATAGTTATTGTGTCAATATTTATAATTTGGTGCTTCTTTACTGAAACAGACCTTATACATCAAGTTAGACAGTAATTGTTTTATTTTGTTGGTTTTGGTGGCAGCTCACAGCTCACCCAGATCAGAATGTCAAGAATGGAGCCGAGCTTTTGGACAGACTCATTAAGGTAATATTCAAGAACATAATTTATGTTTCATAGTAATTTGTGGAGAAAGAGTTATTGCTTCCTTTCCTATTTTATTTTTTAAAATCCTATTGGTTTTGTTTTTCATTTTTTAATGCATGCCATTTTACTTTAACATTATGATGAAATTTGCGTACTCACCATGTCTAAACCTGATGCTGAGTGTTGCCGTAGATGCTGCTAACAATTCCCATTTGTTCATAATGTACTGACATACCCAAGCGAAGAGTAATGTCATTAGCTGTAGAAATTGATGAGAGCTATTGCAGTAATATTAGATAATGGAGACTGAATGACAGGATAAATTATTCCTTCAAGCAGTTTAAGTATGATTTATTCTTTTTGCTCTCTAATTTCCAAGCAAAAATTATTTTTGGGATTCTATACATTTTTTATTCTAATCAATATTTTTATTGTCAGTTTGGCCTCTCCCTAATAATAAATGGTTTCATTTGAAAGTGTCATGATTTTTTTTTTCTTCCCATGTCAGGACATTGTGACTGAGAGCTCCTCCTTTGACCTAGTTGCCTTCATCCCTCTGCTGAGGGAACGTATTTACACCAGAAATCCTTTTGCACGCCAGTTTGTTGTCTCCTGGGTAGGTTCCACTAGCAAAAGCCTTGAGGTTTCATTTCCCTTATAAATGAAACTGTATTTTTTAAAATAATTAAAATAATGTGTACACTAACATTCAGGGTGTGATGCTTTTCGTTAAAACGAGGGTGCTTTTCCCAGCATGTTCGCTCAAACTCGAAGTGCATGTTGTATAGTTGTGGTTATTTCCCTTAAAAGGGCATTATGTAGATATAAATCTAGGTGGGTTTGGGTTGGGGGGGGTTACGAATTAACTAAAGTCACTACACACCAGCAACTGAAACAGCCCCTTCAGCAGTGAAATACCATGCTCAAACGTCTCTTCTCAGTGCTCAGATGGACATGTGGGATGGCTACTCGGATATGTCATTTCAGCCTTTTTTTCCCCTGAACTTTTTCCTCTATCTGTACCTTTACAATGGAGCCAGCTGTTGATCTATGGACGGATATGTGTGTGGTGTTTGGTTGGGTGCTTTGCTTCTGCCCTTTTTTTCCTCTGTACTTTTTTCTTTCTCCATGCTCTTGCAACTAAACCAACTGAGTTGCTTCAAATAACCTGTTTCCATCTAGTAGGGCTTCACAGAAGATCAGCTATTAAGAGCACATGAACCCTTTGCACAATTCGAAATCTCTATGGAGCTTCTTTTCTACTCTACTTAGTTCCATAGACGTATTTAGGACTGTGGGATTTGTCATGGTTTGACTATCAGCATGGTTTTATTTGCTATGTGATATAATGTTTGGGTTTATCGAAGAATGTCTTAGGAAGTTATCATGTGACACTGCAGTTGTTTGTGTTTTCTTTTTCATTTTAAAGAAAAAAGTAGTCAACAACTTCTGTCTTGCAATGGTTATACTCTTTACCTTGCAAATAAAAGGCAGGAATTTGATTCTTAAGTGGGGGAAACATTTTAGCGAGTAAGCCTGTCTTTCTAATGGGTTGTGTCCCACTTATACCATTTTGGTTGAGCCAAAGAGTCAAAGCAGTATGTATACAGAGTGTCGGTTGAATATAAAACATTGACTGCTATTATTGCACTGTTTTTCAATAAGAAATTATTATTCAAAGTAGGCATTGCATTGAAAATGATTGAGAAATCTTGTAGTATGCTGTGGGTCTAGGAGAAAAAAAATTGTATGAACCAGTCGTGGAGATAAGTAGAGTTCCTCGGAGCCTGAATATCGGCTATATGTGCTTTTGTTGGACCTGGTAAATTGGTGGTCTTGTCTGCTTACTGTTTGGTAGATCGAAGTCCTGGATGCTGTTCCGGACATCAACATGCTGGTCCTCCTGCCTGAGATTCTGGATGGACTCTTCCAGATCCTGGGTGACAACAGTCATGAGATACGCAAAATGTAAGTGAGATGGCCATGAGGTACGCATAATGTGAGTGAAACAGTCATGAGATATTCCAAATTATGTGTCATGAGATGTGGTAAGTATGATTGAGACCAGCTAGGTTGTAAAGGATTTTAACTTGTTGGACTGGAGAGAGAGAAATGAAATAAGGAAATAATCAAATTCCACCTTTTTTTGATGACCATGAGTTGATTTATTTTGCGATAGCAAACATACAGAGAGGGAGGGGAAGAGCTAGAGAAAGAAAGAGAGTGTTCATCTGTCTCGCAAAGGAAGTTTATATGATTGATGCTTACAGAGAAGGACAACGGTTCAGAGATATTATGGATCCAGTTTTTAATTTTATAGAGAAAAAGAGAAAAGGTGTATGTTTGTGTGTGTGCTTTTTATTGTGCTATGTATAAAGGTTTTGTTTCACTGCAGCTGGTAAAAGCACAATGTCAATTCATTTCTTTGGTGTATAATATATATTCTCTTTTCTTGTCTTAGCTTCATCTGAGAATAATTGTCCCTATATTTTTTGTATGCAACAATTCGATGTCCCTGGCATTTCATGTCTCTATAGATGCTTTGAAGTCCACACTCTCCTCTCAGTCTTTATCTGGATCTAATTTTAGCATGGCAGTGGATGGTTGGAGGGCACCACTGGTTGTTCCTCCTTGTTCACTACCTTTCTGTTGTTTCTGCCCTTCTGTCTTGCTTTTCCAAATAATAAATGGCAGTTATTCGTAATAATATGCTTCCTTGTTAACTCTTAATCCTATGGAAAGGTTTTTGATATAGTCATTACCATTGTGATGACACATGGCACAAACATTTACAGGTAATAAAAAAAACTTGATTGTTATTACTTTGATTATCTTTTGTCATTCTTTATGTACTTGTCTGATATCAATATATCTTTTTGCTTTCAAACTAGATAACTGGACTCGCTGTGCCAGACAATGTGACTCTCCAATTATGAAATAATGCTCTGTGTTTGGAAAGAACAGATTTTTTTATAAGATAGTTTGCTGTGGTGATATTAGGTGGTTGGTAGGGGCTCTGATTTTGCCTGCTCCTCATAGTTATATTTCTTTAATGTTACTGCTGTTCAAGTCTTTTCCCTGGAGAAATATATAACTATTATCATGAGTGCAGACACATTGCAAACCACAACTCTACTCGACAGCTGTAACATGTCTTTGTTGATCTGAGACAGTTGTTGTTTATCATAATTTTCTTCAGGTGCCAGGGAGTTTTATCTGAATTTCTGGAAGGCATTCGGAGGTCCAAGAATGGAGTCAACTTTACTGGGATGGCAAACATTCTCATAGTGCATAGTCAGAATTCGGGTATGTCTAGAACTTCTGTCTTGATATATTGCTCTCTTGAAGTTGGCTATTGAATTTGTTGCATTTTGTTTCCCATCCTACTAGATATGAGTTGGTCAGTTCAGTACAGTTCTTACATTATGAAGTTTTGGTGATCTTATTTTTTGCTGAGACTGACTCTTGGCCATTAGATCAGTGTTATAGGAAGCCACGCAGAAAACGTAATTCAGAGAGAGAAAAAAATACCACCCCAACACCAGAGAGATGGTGGTATGTGAGTGGAGCCCCCATCAGCTTGCGGTTGGTTTAGATGAGCCCCGCAGTGTCAGATAAGACAACACAACACTAGATGAGAACATTATTGTCCTCATGGGGAATTTTTAGCAACTGTGCTGCCAGGAACAATAAAGTACTAGTGATCTTATAATAAATTAACATTGCAGATATTATGTTTGAATAATTTCTCTCTCTCTCTCTCTCTCTCTCTCTCTCTCTCTCTCTCTCTCCCCTTCTTTCTCTCTCTCTCTCTCTCTCCCCTTCTTTCTCTCTCTCTCTCTCTCTCTCTCTCTCTCCCCTTCTTTCTCTCTCTCTCTCTCTCCCCTTCTTTCTCTCTCTCTCTCTCTCTCTCTCTCCCTTTCTTTCTCTCTCTCTCTCTCTCTCTCTCTCTCTCTCTCTCTCTCTCTCTCTCTCTCCCCTTCTTTCTCTCTCTCTCTCTCTCCCCTTCTTTCTCTCTCTCTCTCTCTCTCTCTCTCCCTTTCTTTCTCTCTCTCTCTCTCTCTCTCTCTCTCTCTCTCTCTCTCTCTCTCTTTCTCTCTCTCTCGTTCATCTGTTACTGCAGATTGTTAAAGGGAAATGTAGCTTTAAAATATGTGGGAGAGGAATGTTATTTCCTTCACGTGTTCCTCATGCATACCTGCCAACCCTACGGAAAAAATCGGTATATAACTGACTTTTTGGTCAAACTACCGATCCACCGATTTTGAGAGATAAGCCACCGACAAGCACCCCACATTCCTTCTTTATAATTGCTATAAAATTTCAGATATTTGTGTGTAGTAGACCTACACTTTACGTTCCAATTTAAAATTACCACCCGTCCATTGATAAAACACTAGACCTGGAAACTAGATCACGGACCCAACACGCGAGTTGCCGGCATGCAAGAGGCGCGTGATCGCTAGGCGGCATGTTATTGACTTCCTAAAACCAGATAGTTTTACAGTAATACAATGATAAAACTGCTAGAACTAAGCAGGTTACCAATGACGTCATTGCGGGTTTTCCCGATACAGCTTTGCTAAGGTGTAGAGGGGTGATCGGCCACAGTTCAAGCGATGTCGCGCAATTCAACTTATTTTCATACAAATTTAATTAAGAGTCTTAAAGATCCAAAGATAGATTTCGAAAAAGTGATAGCAGAAAACTAGATTCTGCACTAAAAATCACACGAAGATTCCAAGTTTCATTCATATAGAATCTACTTCAACTCATTACTGACTTATGAACAGTTTTCCCTCAAAATACACCAAGATCCGTCCCACTTTTTTGACAATATTTTCCTGTATGAAAGTACCCCAGAATGTTTAAACAAAAAATCCCAATAACTTTTAAAATTTATAAATGGATTTTTAAAATTTTGAAACCACAATTCTTAGAATTTACTCTTCTTTCATTTAAGCTGGATAAAAATGTAATTTTTCATTGTAATTGCTAATTTTTGTTTTTTGCTCTTTGTCATTTTCTACATTTGTTTGAAGTCGCAAACGCGCTCTTGTATGTGTGGGTCAAAATATTAATAAAGGTCCCCAATTAAGTATGTGGCAAGTGGTAATATAGCCTACTACAGAGTTTTTTTAGGTCAACTACAGATTTTTGGACAAAAATTTGTGTGAACTGCAGATTTTGGTCCAGGCAATGTTGGCAGGTATGCTCATGGAATGCGCTTTTCATTCAAGGATTTTCAAAAAATGTTTTGAAAGATGAGTTGTCTTGGCTCTCCAATCCTTTTGCTCTGTCCTTACAGAGACGAGAGTTTTAGTTAGAGATCCCACTTCTTTCATAGTCTTTCTTTGTCGAAAGGGGCATCAAACTAATGCCAAATCATGCTTAGCGATTATATTTTTAAATAAACCCTCAATGTATTATGCATAATATAAAGCTTCTCTTAAATCTGGTGTTTGGATTTTTCATATAAAGTGTGTGTTTTGCTCTTATGTTTTGCAGGGAACATCAAATTCTAAATAATTTTACTAAAGTAAGATGAGTGATGAGGGGGAAGGGTAAAAAGGCTTAGTTTACATGATAAAGTGTATTTCAGTATATATATAACTCTGCGTGTAGAAATACCTATTGAATGGCAAAATCTGATTTATTGGATATACATGTTATGTATCCTTCATATTCCATTTTCCACTGTACTTTATATTTGTAATCTTTTTGTTCTCTTGTGCTCAATCTATCACTTTCTTTAGGTGTTTTTTTTGTGTTGTGTATTCCGAGTGTAGCTTTGGTCCCTATTTATTTATTTTTTTTGTCCCAACCTTAGATGACCTGATCCAGTTTACGGCCATCACATGGCTGAGAGAGTTCATCGCCCTGGCCGGACGTTCCATGCTGCCCCACATGGCTGGGATCCTCAACGCTGTGCTGCCATGTCTCTCCTACAGCGACGACAGCCGCAAAAAGTGCGTCTCTCTTTTAATGTGCTATTGCAATGTTGTTGGTGTCGTTGTTGTTGTTATTTTCGTATTGTTGTGGTTTTGATGTTGTTGTTGTTATTTTCTTACCTCATTTTGTGCTGGGATTTGTTTTTCGAACAAAGTGTCTAAATACTGTATATACTGGTGTATTGATGAGTATTTTAAAAATTCAAACTTGTACTAATGGTAGTGACTAACCAATCAAAATGTAATTTGTACGCGAAAGTGATAAGTGTGTTAACTTGGATACATAAAAACTCTCTTGAGTGACTGCTTGATAAAATATAACCAGCACACTTATAGGAGTTGACCACTTTGTCAGGATTCTAATCATGCTAGAAAACACCTTTGTTACTGGCCAGCTTTAATGTTTTATGACCAAAATTCCCAATACGCAATATTTTCTGTCATGTGAGTGTGTGGGACACATTAAAAATTTCAATTTGGTTGGAATTAATTATTTGAATTTTGCCCTGATGACAGCTAAAGCTGACTCTTATCGATTTTAGAACCACCAAGGGATCTTTAACATGCACAACTTGCATAGGAGACCTCCAAGATTTTTTCGCCTTTACCCATGAAGGCTAGGTATTAGATCTTACACACCCTAAGATCAGGGGTGGGGCAGAAAGACAGAGGTAAGAAGAAGCCAAGGAGCAGCAGTAGGGCTGCAGAAAGAGTCGGGAGCCGAGAGGAGGGGGGAAGGGGGAGAGAGATTGTGTGTGAGAGGTGGGGAGAAAGGGTCACTGTTGGAACCATATTGTGCAGATGCTCTTTGTAAAATGCATTGAGCACTTTCTATGTGGAAAGGCGTATTATAGATAAAAATGTATTGTTATTGTATAATGCTGTTAGTCACTGAAAGTATTCATTATTTCGTCTTTCTGTCTTGTTTATGATTGTAAATATTACAAAATTAAAGTAAATGATTTCTCCTAGTTTTTCTGTAGCTATATATAGTTTTATACTTTGCCACTTTATGGGAAAAGCAGATTGTGATCTTTTATTATTTCTTTTTTCTTCTTGTTAATTTGGCTGCTGGAGAGGGTCCCACTTCTCAAGAGAAAAAAATACAATCAGACCCACTCAAAAACAAAAAACCCTCGAAACGTGGTGACATGATAAGTTAAAGATAAGAGTATGATACAGCTCTAACGGATATCTTTATGGGAATGGTGTAACAGAATAGAAATTGATAGTGTCCATCTCATAGGAACTGCATAATCTAGGCCTGCAGAAACGGAGCTGCAGGAACTGGATTAAGTCTGTTGATTTTTGTTCTATGCCTGATCTTGGCTTTTTGTTTGTTGTTTGTTTAGTATAGGGTTTTACGGCGCTCGCAACTGCATAAGGTCATATGAGCGTGCGGGACACACCTAATACTTTTTCGTTGGTAGGAAATTTTGAATTTTGCCCGGGTGGCGGCCGAAGCCTACTCTTATCGATTTTAGACCACCAAGGGATCTTTAACGTGCGCAACTTGCACACGGGCCCTCCGAGATTTTTCGCCCTTGTCCGAGAAGGCTAGGTGTAGATCTTTCCTACCAGAAGATCAGGGGTGTGGCAGAAAGACAGCAGTTAGGAGGAGCCAAGGAGTAGCAGTAGAAAGGCTGCAGAAAGAGTCAGGAGCCCAGAGGAGGGGGCAAAGGAGGTGAGGGGGTGGGGGCAGAAAGTGGAAATGAAAGCAGACAACAGAACATTGTTAGAGATCAGGAAAGGATGTGAAAGGAGACAATTTTAGAGAAGAAAATTTTTTGGTCGCTACCCGGAATCGAACCCGGGACCTTTGAATGAGAGGCCAACACCTTAACCTCTAGGCCACGAGAGCCCCCTGATCTTGGCTTTAATCAGAAATAACTTTTCTTTTTGTCTGTCAGACCTCCTCTGTCAGACCTCCTCTGTCAGACCTCCTCTGTCAGACCTCCTCTGTCAGGCCTCCTCTGTCAGACCTCCTCTGTCAGACCTCCTCTGTCAGACCTCCACTGTCAGACCTCCTCTGTCAGACCTCCTCTGTCAGGCCTCCTCTGTCAGACCTCCTCTGTCAGACCTCCTCTGTCAGACCTCCTCTGTCAGACCTCCACTGTCAGACCTCCTCTGTCAGACCTCCTCTGTCAGACCTCCTCTGTCAGACCTCCACTGTCAGACCTCCTCTGTCGGACCTCCTCTGTCGGACCTTCACTGTCAGACCTCCTCTGTCAGACCTCCACTGTCAGACCTCCTCTGTCAGACCTCCTCTGTCAGACCTCCTCTGTCAGACCTCCTCTGTCGGACCTTCACTGTCAGACCTCCTCTGTCAGACCTCCTCTGTCAGACCTCCTCTGTAAACCCACTGAGCAGCCTGAAAAATTAAGAACTGAAAGAATATTTTATTTTAAATTCTGCTGAAATAAACATATTTATCAAACTCTCAAAATAAACCTGTTGCCCCCTCCAGGGTGCGTGAGGCAGCAGAGAACCTGAATTTGGCCCTACGCAAGCTTGTGGAAGCTCAGGACGATCAGCCGACGCCCACAGCAGAGAACATCACACTCCAGGGGGAGCTGCAGAATTCTGAGGCTGGGAAAGCTAACAGGTGACTTGTGCATATTTGAAATTTTCTCCATGTTGGATACGTTTGCGTGTTTTGGTGTAATGAGGGGTGTCTTTTTTTCCAAAAAAATCCTGATCATTCCTGTTCGCCAGTGATATTGTTTGGAATGAGTAGAACCACAGCGTATCTGCAGTAGCTGTACACACATGATGATGCCTGAGCATGCTGTAATGTCTTTGTTCAAATTTACAATTTTGTTAGTAATTACTTTGTTGCCTCAACTTTCGTCACCCGCTTAACTCTTGTGATTTGGTCATGGGCCTTTTTTTAAAAAAACATTTTAGAGTCTAGTGGGATGTTAAATGCTAGCAAACAAAAAATAATCCATATATTCAGAAGTACATGGTCTCATTATTTTTGCTCTGAAAAATCCACAAGTTCAGGAACTCTTCCTGATTCTAGGTGGTACCCCTTAATGTTTATTCTACTCTAGAGGAACAAAAATATTTTAAACTAACTGTGACAGCTTTCCAAAATGTTACTGAAAATAATTTTTTTAGCATTTGCTCAGAGTGCAGTTGACTAGCGTTCTATAAGTCTGCTTTTTATCAGTTTTACTGCTATCGTAGTCAAATTTGTTCATGAGGAAATTTTGCTATTGTCATTTTGCTATGTTGTTGCTTCCCATCTAAACATCTTAATAAGCAATACTTTTTTCTCTTCTGAACACCTCAAACATTATCACGTCCATCTTGTCAAATGAAGTGTCATGGTTTTGAGGGGGTGTTGTTTCTGCCAGCTAAGTACTTAATGTCTTGAAAAGTTTGGATTCCAAAAAATCTAGTCTAGTCTTCTCTGATCAGTTGTCTAATTCCCTCTGCTATTCTGTCTTTCCTCAGTGCCAGCATCCAGTTGGAAATCCTGTCTGTGATCAAAGTATTGCAGAGATTACTTGGCCACGAGACAATACAGACACGTGTGGCAGCGCTCAAATGGTTCAACCTGCTCCTCGTGAAAACACCTAACAAAGTATGCAGTGCATAGCCAATAACTTGTTTTCTCTATGTTATGAATAGCTCATTTATGACCAAAAGATTTTTGTGGGAAAAGAAATGTTTTATGCTTCAGAAAACATAACAGTATGGGAGTACTGCGGCAATAGAAACTTACCACTCTTTTTGTAACTGCGCCCTTGTTCACATGTGTTAATGAGCGAAATTTTGCACATCATTCACCGTGTACCCAAACAATGGCTCCACGCTGATCTTTTTCCTGAACACAAATTTAACAATATGGTCACGTGTCCCACATGCAAATTAACTGATTCCGTCCATGATTTTTTCAGGCTCTGGACAGAGTTATTTTTCCCTGCTCAGTTTTAGACCTGGGGTGCGTCTATTTAATGCATTACTATGAAGCTCTAAGTCACTATAATAGGTATTGTCATATACCAAACTGATGGGAATAAATAGAAAAATCTGTTTATATCAATAACAATGACCTATAATCTGTTTGTATTACATTTTCCTTCTGACAAAAACGAATGAGGAAAAAAAATTGCGCAACAGCTCTTCGAAAATTTCTACTTACCGCATTTTCTCAGCTCTACAAGTCTTTATAATCTATAGGAATCAACACAACATTGTAGCGATATCACCCTAGCACACATTTATGCAAGAATTTCACAAATTTAATTGAATATCTTTCTTTGAAGAGCCTTTTTATTATACCAGGCTCCGTGTTGTTTACCCTTAGATCTAGCCTACATTGCAACAACAAAACAACGATTTTTGCAAGAGTTTCGATCGATATTGGCGCTCAAAGATTGAGGTCAGGTTTGTTTACAAGTTCTACTTCCTTTCGACAACTTAAAAAATAGGAACTATGTTAAAAAGTGCACCTTTGTTTTGGATTTCGTTGAGCCGCGGTCAGCGGCCGAATGGACGGAATCAGTTAACACATTTTGTGACTTATGTTTCTCCAAAATTATGAAATCGTCTAAACTGTGTTTAGATCAACACATCAGCTACTTTAGAACTGAAAAAACAAGTTAACATACACATTCCAGCTGGTTTTTGTCGTCTTAAATTGCTGTACAAGATGCCACGGTTAAGCCCTTAGGAGCGCTGTTAGGCAATTTGAACGCTGCAAGCTGTACTATCAGCCCGTAGTGTGGCGCGGATGCTTCATTTTTCCCACCCAACCTTCAATATCCTGAAAGAAAGGCTCCTAGTCACTGGATTTACACCTGACAGACCCAGACAACGCAGACCACAGGTCAGTACTGCCCAAGAAGACGGACAGATACTGCTGTAGCATCTTTGAGATCACTTTCTCACAACGACCGGCTCTGCATGTCAGTTTCCTACAGACACTGGAAGAGTTATCAGTGATAGAAGGGTACAACTACGGCCTTAAAACACCTTTGGACATTGAGCAAGGCGGCCATTATAGTGACCAACATTTGCCATCTTTCCGATAATTACGCTTGAACTGACTGGGCCTTAGAGGGAGCTCCCAAAACAACATTAACATTGTAGAACGGCTGGGACAAGCTTTGATTCAAGAGTGGAATGGACTGCCACTACAATTAATTAAAATAAGAAACAAAAAAACTGACTCGATTAATGCGCTGAACATGCCGAGCTTGCATCTTTGCAAGGGGCTACAATGCACGCTACTGGTGTGACATTTTAAAATCAAGAGGTACCAGTTCATGCTTACCACTGTACCTCTTTATGAGACAGGATCAAGAAACAACACAAAACACACTTCTTGAAATACTTTGAAATATGTCTATGTCAATTTTTATTTGTATATGTTGAATAATAACCACAATACAGGCTTCTCTCCAAGTGGAAAGTTTCTATTGCCGCTGTGTATATTTTAAATTATAAATCATGTTATTTGTTTGTATGAATTAAATTATTTCTCGTAGTAAATCATTTTAAACTGCTTACAATATTTTTCAGTGAAAAAAACAATTGTATAACATACTCATTTTCCAACTACATTTCTGTGCTTAACTGCAGAAGTGTTTTCTTTTTTTTTGCTTTTTAGTTTTGTTCAAGTGTAAAAATAGAATCTGTGTCCTATTATACCAGTTGCAGTTGAAATGATTTCTCCCTCTCTCTCTCTCTCCACAGACATTCCGGTACATTGAGGAATTCTTCGGTTTGTTAATGACTACTCTGTCTGATCCTTCTGATGATGTAAGTTTGTCAAGGAAAGCCTATTTATTGTGAGGTCATGATCTGATTTAATGAAACAGACTGTATTCATGGGAAACAGATTGTGACCTGAGTTTATACGATACATATTGCAAGCCCTTTTTTTGGCGCACATCTGAAGTGTTGTTGTTGGGGCGGGGGGGTTGCAATGTTTCTATTTTATATAGACTAATGTTTCTCTCTATTGTAAGAAAATCTTAATGTGTACATGTTGCATTTTTTAATGGTTATTGTATACGAACAGTTCGTAATAGAAGACTGTCATATTTCTTTTTGGATGTCAACACATTGTGTGTGTTGCCACTGAGCTTGAGCATTTGGCAGCCAATTCTTAGAAAGATTACCCTGTCGCCTACTTATTCTGAATAATAGTATTTAAAAAGGGGTGTTGGGAGTTATGATTTTGGGTTTAGGCTCAGGATTTTGTTGAGGCCTGAAGAGGTGAGTCTGTAATAACAACCAGGGGAGATTATGATTTGGGTTTACAGGCCAAACTTTCATCATAGCCCCAAACACAAGGTCGATTCCTCAGCCTTGTCTTTTCAATCTTCAGGCTAAGTCTTCAGCCACGGAATGTGCACATTCTGTGTTGTCTTTTCTTACATTGCAATGGAGGAACATTCATGGCTCGTTACCAGTTCAGTGTTCAATGGAATTGATAGTCTGTGTCATTAATTTGTGAACCAGACCAATAAATGGTTAAATTTTCCAAGTTTCTTTCATAAAAAGTTCCCTTTCGTTTTCCAGTAAAATAGGACGAGTGATGCATTATGGTTGGACCAGTCAGACTGAGGCTTAGGCACCTGATAATGAATCTTAAAAATCATCTCTAAAAAGTCAGTCTTCTGCTATCGAATAGGCACCTTTTATGGAGATTTAAAGGCCATGATTTGAATATCAAAATGATTTTTTTTGTTAAAGAACTTCTTCTTCCAAGATTTCTGACTTACGAGGGGACTGTGGGTGCTCCAGCTTGATTCTTTGTTTGCTGTGCCTTAGTCTGACTGTCTGTGAGAAGAATACAGGTAGTTCTCTGATTTCCAGTATCCCTTATCACTAGATTGTCGACAACACTTCATCTGTTTTGCAGGTTGTGTTATTGGACCTAGAAGTTCTGTCCGAAATCTCGTCCAATCCAGCTGGTTTTGGTTCCACCCCAGGTGTGGTGGAAGGTGGTGCGGTCACTCCTTCATCTGACCGCTCATCCGGTGATCTGAAGCTGAACCCGTACTTCACCAAACTGATGAATGGCCTCATCGACTGGTTTAAGAAAGACAAGCAGTTGTTGGAAGACCGAGGGGCTTTTATTATTAGGTGAGATGAGTAATGTCTTTACTTCTTGGAAGATTTAAAGCCGAAGTATAAAATGTGTGGGTGGTTGGTGGGTGCTCTTGAATGGTTTGCTCTTCTTTCCTACCAAGCATCTATCGTCCTTATCTCTCCTCCTTTTTTTGTGTGTTACTCTTTTGTATCACCTGTAATTTTCGGCACTTATGTGACTTTATGTTGCAAGTGCCTTAAAACTTTCGCTAAAACTAAATTAAAGATATAAAACGTGTAGTTAGTTTTTATAAAAATCATCTTTCTTCATGAATTTGAAGATCTTGAAGACTCTCAAACTAATAATACAAATCTGGAAAACATTTTAGAAACCTGATAAGGTCTAAAGTTGCATGTTATTTAATTATTTAACATAGATTTTCTTTTGTTTGTTTGTTTGTTTAGTATAGGGTTTTACGGCGCTCGCAACTGCATAGGTCATATGAGCGCGCGGGACACACCTAATATTTTTTAGTTGGTAGGAAATTTGGAATTTTGCCCGGGTGGCGGCCGAAGCCTACTCTTGTCGATTTTAGACCACCAAGGGATCTTTAACGTGCGCAACTTGCACACGGGCCCTCCGAGATTTTTCGCCCTTGTCCGAGAAGGCTAGGTGTAGATCTTTCCTACCAGAAGATCAGGGGTGTGGCAGAAAGACAGCAGTTAGGAGGAGCCAAGGAGTAGCAGTAGAAAGGCTGCAGAAAGAGCCAGGAGCCCAGAGGAGGGGGCAAAGGAGGTGAGGGGGTGGGGGCAGAAAGTGGAAATGAAAGCAGACAACAGAACATTGTTAGAGATCAGGAAAGGATGGGAAAGGAGACAATTTTAGAGAAGAAAATTTTTTGGTCGCTACCCGGAATCGAACCCGGGACCTTTGAATGAGAGGCCAACACCTTAACCTCTAGGCCACGAGAGCCCCCTAGATTTTCTTTTCTCATATGAGTTCGTTATTTCAGTCCCTTAGGTAAGCACCCAGTGTATCAGCCTGTCAGACTTTCGGAAGCTATCTTTCATTTTTTTGGGGGGTCAATACCTATTCCTAATTGAGTGGGTAAATGATTTTACCTGTGGCCCACTTTTTTTGCTAGCGAGAAAAGACAGACTGGAATGAAGAAGGGACAATTCAATAGGAAAGGCATTTCATGTATTTAGCAGTAAGGGAAAGAGCAGTGAACAAGTACCCACTGTGAATGTGATAGGGTTCCAAGTTTGTGTTAGGGATGTGCCTTCTGTACAGATTCGTGATGTGATGGCAAAATATTTTACAATGCTGAATTGCTCATTTCTGCTGAGCTCATTAAAGCAACGAAGCTAAAAAGAGATTACAGATAAAATCATGAACTTCGTTTAAATGCCTTTGCAAGCTCTGTCCTTTTTCATGAAAATGTTACAGCTATGTATTTCTGAGTGCAGTAGGTTTTCTGTGTGTGTAAAGCTGAGAGAGGGAGAAAAAGATGAATTGCCTGTTTGTGATTGTGCTCCGTGGTAGGTGGATACACAGGTGTGCAATCAGTGTGAGTCAACGTCTGTTGGAATTACTGGCTGCATGTATTATTTCAGTTTTATTACCCTTTTCATTTATTGTTACTACCAGCTGGTACAAGAAAAAAATTTGTTCACATGGGTTATAAAGTTTCACACGGTCTTGTTTTTATCTTTTCTTTAGTGTGCATGTTTTATTATCTCCTCAGACAACTGTCCATCTACCTGAGTGCAGAGGCTATCTTCCGCAGCCTGTCCGAGATTCTTCTGACTGAGCAGGATGTGAGTTTTGCTTGCACCATGGTACAGTCACTGAACACTATCCTGCTCACTTCCACCGAGATTTACGAGCTGCGGTCACAACTCAAGGAACTAGCCACTGAGGTGGGTCATAGGTCAATGTTTACCACTGTCAGTCAGTGGTCTTTATCAGTTCCAAGGTTTTTTAATGTCAGAAGTTTATCTGCAGCGAGAAAAAGGTTATGATGTGGGACATGTGAAACTTCAGAGAGAAGCCGAGTCCTTATACATTAAATCCAGGCTCTCCGTGGCCTCAGTCCAATGCAAAGTAGAAAAAAGTGTTTATTCATATACAATGGATGTTTTATATGCACTGGACTGGATCAATAATAATAACATATGCAGTGGGCATTGAAATGGTTTTGAAGCTGTAATTTTTTTTAAGAGACTGATTTTTACCTGATATGCCGGTTGTGCTGCTCGCAGAAAATTCCTGTTTGTGTGGGTGTTTGGCAGGTACTCTTGTGGGGTTTGCTCCTTCTTTCCTATCAAACATTTATCATCCTTATCGTCATTCTTTTCTTTGTATGATACTCTCAAGTCTTCTGCCCTTAATGTGACCTAATTAAAATCCCTGTGGGTGGTTTACGGGTGCTCTTTCCTATCAAACATCTATCGTCCTTATCTCTCCTCCTTTTTTGTGTTTGTTACTCTCTTGCAACTCCTCTAATCTTCTGGTGCTCATATGACCTTATGCAGTTGCGAGCGCTGTTAAAACCTCTACTAAAACTAAAACTCTTAACTAAGACTAAAATTTTAGTTTGTTCTGTGTTCCCTATCATAGTGTGTGTTTGTCTGTGCTGTCCTCAGGAGAGCTGCAGTCTGTTCTGCTGCCTGTACAAGTGCTGGAGTCACAGCCCCATCTCCCTCATGTCTTTGTGCTACCTCACACAGAACTACGCCCAGGCCTACAGACTCATGCAGATCTTGTATCCTTTGTTTATTAGATTGGGAGAACATGATTCTTATTTATCTAGTTACCTTATTCCACTTTTTCTTACTGCGTGTTTGCTTTTTTAACCATTTTTACTTTCTGTCTGAACTTAATTTTGTGAAGCTTACTTTGTTTTTTTTATTTATTCTTTATTATAAGGTATTTATGAAAGATTTGCCATTACCAAGAAATCTATTTGCACTTTCTTTGAAATTACGAAACAGAGGTTCATATGAAAAATATACTTTCTAAACTTTGATGACAGATGGTCAGGTGCCCATTACTGCTGGGTGGACAGGAGGGGGCAAAAAAAAATCAGTGTCCAAAAGGTGGAGTAGAGGCATATAACTTCTAAATATTGAAGAAATAAAGGAAGATAACTACAGTGGAAACTGTCTTAGATGGCCGCACATTTCTGTGGAGAAAAATGACTGTCTTAGAGAGATGGGTGTTTTACGCAGTGTCATTGTATAATGTTAAAAATATGCAAGGGATTAAATGGGAAATGGTTGTTTGTACTGGTGTCTATCCTATACAAGTGGCAGTTAGAGCAGGTTCTACTGTTCTTATTCTTATAATAACTATTGAAGACAAAAATACCACTATTCCTTAACTGAGACTCAGCGGGGATCTGGAAGTGACAGTGGATTTCCTCAAGGAGATAGACAAATTGGTGCAGCTGATAGAGTCGCCCATATTTGCCTGTGAGTGCGGGTACAATCCTCATGAATCCAGCTTTTTGCTTTTGGGAAGTTAACTGTAACCAAACCAGTTGCACCATAACTACAGTGTGTGTGTATGTCAGACCCTAGATTATATCTAGTTTGTGTGTGTATGGGGGGAGGGGGGGAGACACATTTTCTTTCATTCTTTCTGTGTGTGTGTGTGTGCTTCAGATCTGAGGCTACCAGTGCTTGTGTAAGTGTTTGTGTGTATCTTCTGCATTAAGATCGTCTAGGGTATGGTGTACAAGGCATGTGTCTTCGGTGCATCTTGAAGGAGGGCACAAGTGGGCGCTATTTTCCATGCATATGCCCCTTGCTTGAGACGACTACTATGTGTGTTTCAGGCTTTAGATGACAGCTACATGTCATTATGTTTATGTGTTTCAAACCTGAGACTGTTGCTGCTTGTGTGTGAGTGTTTTAATGTAGGATTTCTTCTGTGTGTGTGTCTCAGGCCTGAGATGACTACCTTATGTGTTTGTATGTGTGTGTCTGGACTTACACATATCACATGTGTAAATGTTTTTGTATGTGTGTTCGTTTAAAACCCGAGATAAATATTGCACGTGTCAGTATTTGTGTGTGTGCATGTGTTTTTAAGACCCGAGACCACAACTTTGTATGTTTCAAACTTAATGCTACAATCACCAGTATGCAGTACGTGTGTTTTTGTTTGTTCATGTGTGTGTGGTTGTCCATGTGTGTGTGTGTGTGTGTGTGTTTCAGATCTAAAACTACAATCACCAGTTCTTGTGTATGTGTGTGTGTTTGTCTGTGTGTGTGTGTGTGTGTGTGTTTCAAATTTAAAACTACAATCACCAGTTCTTGTGTATGTGTGTGTGTTTGTCTGTGTGTGTGTGTGTGTGTGTGTGTTTCAGATTTAAAACTACAATCACCAGTTCTTGTGTATGTGTGTGTGTTTCAGACCTGAGGCTACAACTCCTGGAAGCCCACAAGAACCCAGAGCTGATTAAGAGCCTGTATGGACTCCTGATGATTCTGCCCCAGTCTGAGGCCTTCAAGCTGCTGCGCTACAGGCTCGAGTGTATACCACAGATCAACCTGACACTCACACTGGACACAGAGTGAGTCTATACAGATTTGTTTGTGACCTGTACTCACTTAATGATGGGTGACTGAGAAAGATCAGGATAATGTTGCATTTTCGAGAGCATCTAAGCAAAGGAATGAATGGGGAACCATGATTGCTGATATCTGCACAGATCTGGCACTTGATGATGATTTGCCCAATGCATTATCATCATCGTTAAGTGCCAGATCTGAGGTAGACATTGGTGATCATGGTTCTCCATTTATTTCTCTCCTGGGATACTCTCAAAGACCTATATTATCATGATGTTTTCCCTGTCTCCCATCTGTTCAGGTTTTTCAAATAAGTTGTCCTCTCCTGATTCGTTGGCCTTCTATTTTTCCATTGAGAGAAAGATGTTCAAAGTCTTTATTATATCAATTCAACTGTCTCAGAAACTGCTTTTGTTACTTCTTTTCAAAAAAAGAAAATTAGTGAGCAGCTCATGTGGGCTTCTTTCAGCACTTCCTTGTTTGATTTCTTTTGATTTCTAATACCTAACATGTTACGAATCCTTGATCTCTACTGGAGCTCAAATTGACTGCTTGGGTGTGATTTTGAGTTTGATCCAGTTTAGCTTGAAAGGGATTCCTTGGCATTGTTTCTCTTTGGAAAAATTAAGGAGAAGCTGAATTTAACACATCGGCATTGCCCAAATTAGTCTCTTTTGATAAAAGTCGAGTTTTTCTTTGTCTCTTTTTAAGAAAGTCAAATTTTTTCATATAGTCTCCTCTGTGAAATATACTACTTTAAAAAATAATCGATTACGCTTTTGTTTGACAATTTCCCAGGAGCAAACGGAGAGGTGAGGACCGGCCATTGGTGAAAAAGATAAACTTTGACGAGCTGTTAAGTCATTTCCTGTCTGTGCAAGCAAACCACAGAGATTTCAAGCGCAAACAAGTTGTGTACAAGATATCAGCAGTGAAAAATTTAGATTTAAAATGATACAGTATTTGTGAATTAGACTTATTTTTTAAGAACTTGTACTATTATTACTGTTATTACGAGATAAGCGCAAAATCTGTGCAATATATTATGGTTTTATTGCCTGTACATACCAATGAGTATGACTGAATAAGGTTGACTTGGGGATTGAAGGATGTCTGATTGCCTCGTAATAGCTCTTTATGCTTGTTCATTCTTTATGCTTAAATTTCTAACCACAAGCTGAATTTTTTTATGTAGATACTTTGATCAAAGTCAATCCATATAAAGTTCTTCCCAAGTATGAATGTGTCTGGTCATAACTTTGAGGTTATGGAAATGAAACTAAGATCATGACCAAGGATATTGTGTGTCTCATACACATATGTTAATATATGAAATCTCTTCTTTACCTCATACACCATGGGTGGCTTCTGGGCTTAACAGTGGTCATGCGCTTTTAAGCCATCGCAGGTTGAAGATTTCATTCCGCTTGCATTGATATGACACTCTCAAGTAATAATCAGGGATGCCATTCTTTCTTTATTTTTTTGAAGAACAGTTATTATTCCAAGTATTCTTTTTCTGTTGAACACCATATTAGTTGTTATGTCTATTAACTGTCTTTTTTTTTCCAAAAGCAAATTAATAAATTTTCAGTTATTTTCACAAAATCCTTGTGGCATTCCTGAATGATACTCCCAGCACCACACCTGGAAAAGGCTCTACTAACTCAGTAACCTAAGCATGTCCTGTTGAACTCTCTTAAGTTCAGGGTCACAGAGGCAGTGCTATACGGCAAGGCTAGAACCAGTGGCAGCTCAGTGAGCAGCATGGTGGCAGTGCAAAGCACTAGCATAAAGCGGGCATAGGTATGGGAATAGTATATCATGAACAGTCTGAGATTGTGTCTATTTTAGTCTGCTTACCTTGACCAATTTTCCAACTTGAGATTGTGCTGTCTTATAGGTCATATTAATGCTAATGGTCTGCAAAGCTTTCCACAAGTGTAGTCAACACTTCTGTCAGCCAAAAGAGTGTTTTTCAGGTTAGATTACCACAGCTTAATGTGCTATTTGCCTGGGTGATGCCTGAGAACCTTGGTATGAAATGGTAAATGTTACATGACTCCCCAGACACAGTAATGGTATTTATATGCCAGCGAGGACCATGTATTGATAGAGGATCCGTAAAATGTTTGTTGCTGGATTTTTTTAATTTTCTGTTTATTTGGGCTTTACACAGGCCTTAGAATTTTGGGCAACAGTGCACAACCACGCTCAATGGGCAAACCACACCTGCCATACACCTTTGCCAGCTTATGGGATCATTTCTTTATGTCATACACATTTTTCAGCTTATGTAACTATTGCTTTTCTCCATCACATCTGTCAAGTTATAATTTATTACATAATTTCTTTTTATCTTATATTATTATGTCTGTCAACTTACTAACAAGGTCATTTGGTTGTCTGCTTCACATCAAGGTGTTATTTGGGAGGGGGGGGGGGTTGTTTTATACTAATCTGTAATCTTACGAGGTCATTGTTTGTCTCTTGCACATCTGTCATCTTGTGATATCATTTCCTTCGTTGTACCTCATCTTTATGTCTCTCCTCCATTGGGTACTCATTTGCTCTCTTCATTTATTTCCCTCCTTGTATTCTTTTGCCCCAAAGTGCCTTTATTTTTTAGTATGAGGTTCAATGTTGCATTGTGGCTCAGTAGTGAGGTAGACGTACTTATGGTCGAAATATCATGGGTTAGAAACCTGAGAGAACTTCATCTGATGACAGCATTACTTGGAAAGGGTTTTTACATTATTCCTCCCAGGTTTTTACTTAGGTCCGTGCATGTGTCAGGAGGTGGAACTTTGAACAGACTGACGTCCTGTCCAGGGTTTGATTATGAAAATATGAAGCAAAGTTAGGAGGGTTTTACTCAGAGTCAAAAGTAAAGGATGCTACTCATAATAAAGATTATATTTGAGCAAAATTATTTTTTTTAAATCATTGTACTGGAAGGGAAAGACAAGATCAAAGTATAAAGTAAGAAATTATGTGACCATCAAATTTGGAACTGAAACAGTACCTCAGACTGAGAGAACAAATGTTAAATGGGTAACGGACTGATATGCACTGACATAAAAATAAGGGGCCTAATCAATGGCATACTGAGACCACTATTGATAAAAAATTACTACTTGTAGCAAAGGGATAATCTAATTGTTGATACATTTGGAACTGGAATATGCTTTGGCTCTTTAATGCTCTGACGGCCCATATAGGCTTACTTTTCTTTTGAAACGAATTACTTTTAAAAGTCCTCTTTGCTTTTTTTAATTTTTATCAGTCTTAGTGTTGTGAATTTTAATCACATGTCACTTGTCCACGGCTAAAATGCTGTTTTAGGAACAGACTTGTGTAGTTTTTTAGCATTTGTTTTTGGCAAGTTGTCTTTTTCTCTGTGATTTTTATTGTAGATGGGAGTATGTGGCTGTAGCTTTATATTATTTTTGCTTCTCTTTGGGTAAAGTGAACAGTCAGATTGTGGCCTCATTATTTTTATACTTTCCACATAGTTGTCATGGTGTACAAATGTAGCTCACTTGTTGCTTCCAACCTCTGGGTCATGCATGCTCTGTAATTTGCACAAATGTTTCACTTTGGTTTCCTTTGTGTTTTTTCTATCGACCTCATGGCTTTATTTTGTCTTTTCATACATTCCTAGACAAGTACTCCACTAATGTGAAATCATGGTTTTGTTCTGCCAAGTTGGTCTGTGATATAAAGCATAAGATTGGCTGTCCCCATCATTCCATCCTCCCCCGTTATAGCCTTTTTAATTTCGATATCTCAGTCCTCATGTGTATGCATTTTCTTTTACATTTTTGTGTTCATGCGGTAGAGTGTATGTGTGCCATGTACGAGCATTCGTTTTTATCAATTACATTGTCATGAGTGGATTGGATAGGCTCCCAAACTTTGACAGGAGATGGGTGTTGAGTAGAGATTTGGAACAGAAGGAGCGAGAGAGAGATTGGAGAGCTCACAGTGGTTTATTGTGTTGTGTATGAATGGTATCCACCCTTTTGATAACCTTGTTCAAGTAAGTTATTAATAAGAGAGTATAACATGTTGAGGCATTGTCTTTTGTTGAAAAGTACGAGGATGTTACTGTTTTGTAATGTTGTCACTCAAAGTGGAGTTATCAGTTGTGACTTTAATTTTGCAATGCAATTTTGTATATATGTATTCTTTATTGTCTCCACTGGGAGACTTTTTATCTTAACAAAGTCAGACTTAGGCATCATCTATTACTCTTAGTAATAGCTGTTACAGATTGCTCACTTGTTATGATATTGGTCAGTGATAAGGAGGAACAGTTTAGGACAGTTTGTGTTGTATATTTTATCAGGGAAAGAATCATTTTTTGTGGGTGTTCATCATCAGCCGTCTTCCTCCCCCTAAAGGAACATGGCCTTCAAACAAGACGCCAGCTGATGGCTCTGTATAGGTCCTTTTTCTCTAGCTCACTCCCACCCATGTCAGACCAGATCTTTTTTAATTAGCCTTCTGAGATCTGCTTCATCTGTTCAAGAGATCTTCTCCTCATTTATCTTTAAATAGAAATCCCAGTTTTTGGTGTGAAGGTTACTGTTCACCGTAAGTCCTCACCTCTATCCTTACATTTATACCATTATTTTCCTAGGAACTTTGGTTCAGAGAAGGATGTTTTCTCCTGTGGCTTCTGGTCCCTGGCGCTTTGGAAACCAGAAGGTTATAGTTCCCCTTGATGGGGAAACTTACATCTGTAGAGAGCCTCCCTCTGATAGCAAAAAATCATCCATCCTCTGGGCTGTTTTGTAAGTGGTTGAACTGAACTTTCCAAAATTTAAGTGTTTGCAAATTCTGAAAGTCCTATCTTTTGAGGTGTCAATGGTCATTCTGTCATGAATAAGGACTTCCTTTCTGCATGTCAAAATGTTTTTATAAAACAGATGCGGTCTTATTTGAGAAATTTTCTCTTAATCATATTATTATATAAAGGTTCCTTCACACAAAGATTGGTCTTCACTGGGCGGAAGTCACTCTCCGAAAGGATCTCAGGATATGGACTTGTTGCTGTGATGTGATCAGTTACAAATTTCACTCACCTGAAAAAAGTCACGGTTCAAAGCCACTTGGGGTTGGGGGTAGCATTGGCTTCTTCTTTTTTTGTGTGGGGGGGGGGTGAACTGTTCATTTCTAAACGGTCCAATTGTCCTGGGGCCTGTTGTTCTTCATGGCTACCTGTTATTTTGAATAGCACCTTCTGCGCAAATTAAGTTGTTTGCTATTGTGAAATTGACTGTATGCTATTGGATTAATGACGGAATGTTTCTCCAAAGGGTGCCAAAATATTCTGGGCCTGGCAAAGGAAAGCAAGAGAGCACGCCATTCCAATACACCCCCCCCCCCCCTATTCCTCTGAAATAAACGTCACGCACATATAAATATACAGGCTGTACCTTGACACGGGATCTTTCTGTGATGTTCTTCAGCTACATGTTTCATTCATCAAATTGGAATAACTGAGTGGACAAATATGACAACATGATGGACATTTCTGTACCCAGTCTAACGAGAATGGACCATGACATGTAAACTTAAAACCCTTGGCTTTTTTTATGAAGCCATGTTGAAATTAAAGCTGCCTTGAGGGAAATGGCAGCAAATGGTAATTTGTTATTATTTCTTTTCTTCTAGTCTTAAGAAACAATTGACTTTCATGGATGTTTCTTGTATTTTTTTCTTACTTCAGAGACATGACACACCCCAGAATTAACTTTTTAAAATAATTCGTCTTTCTCCCAGATTTCCACCCCCAGTTTTTCTCATTTTTCAATTCTTTTCTTCATTCCTGTATTTATCTTCAGATTTTCTTGTTTTCATTCTTGAATAAAACATGTCTCACAATTGAACGTGGTATTCGTCCTGATGATACCGATACCAGTAATTGTAATGGACTTGATAGTGAATCAACTGTTATTGCTGAATGCAGTGAACCTTGAGGTTTGTCACTTGTGCTAAGCCATTGAATTTTTGTGTCAGATACAGTATTCTTAATATTTTATTATTATAAAAATAAAAAAGAATAGTAATGCCTGTTCTGCAGTTGACCAGTAGCATGTATCTCTGAAAGTTGTGACTGCCGTCATGCTAACTTCGCATTATGTCTACTTGTCGAATCTTTCCTGGGGGAAATGTTCTCTATGGCTGTAAGTATATTTATTTATGTTATGTATGCACTGCTTTGTAGTTCTTTATTTTGAAATAATAATTTGTATCTAGTAGGGCATTTAAATCATATTAAAGCAAAAAAAAAAAGCACCAACAAAAAAACAAAAAACCTTTGTACTCATCATCTTTATTGCTATGTGTTCTTTGATATAGTGGAGTCCAATTTGAACAAACTTACATTTAACGAACATCTCTCACACTGTTTTCTAAATAAGAAGGGGGAAAAAAGCACTAAAAGAGACCAATTACAGTAACCTTTCAAATTCAGTGAGTAAATACTGTGAAAATCGGATTTAACGAGCTCGGATTCAACGAGACGAGATAGATTCCCCGCGGGTTTTTTTTCTTCTTTAAAATCAATAAAAGTAACTCGGGTTCAATGAGCTCTTAAATCAGCGAGCTTGGATTCAATAAGGTGGCTTCCATGGTGAACAGCCCTCGCAGACGTGGCTTTGTTAATTTTTCTCCCTGAACGAACTTTATCTATTCCCGGAAACCATCCATTGTCCTGTATCGTGAACCATTATTCACTTAGCCGATTGCATGCGACCAATCTGCAACCTTTTAAAATATCAACACATGCGTTGTTGGCACGCGCACGTGTCTTCTCTGGCGTGTGTCGGGGTCGGATGGGTGGCCTGCAAACTTGTGACTGTGTGTGTGTCGGGGAGGGGACACTAGCGGTCCAGGCGTTGAACGTCGCAAATACAAACGCGTCACAGTCTTTTTTTTCCCCTCGGCAACTGATCATTATTACAATTATAAGCTATTCTTGACATAGATCTACGCACTGAATTGTTCGCTGGTCTAAGGAATCAAAAGTTGCCGTATGCTAGACTACACAGCAACACAACTTTTTGGTAAACAATCGAGATGACACAGTCGTGTGTATTTGAACGAATCGGTCTTTTTTTTACACAGCTCATAATATGCAGGCATTTCAGGCACTACTTGTGTCTTCTCTTGTACATTACTTGCTCAGTGCCTGTAATTATCTACGCAAAACCTCATGTTTGCTATAACGACACTCAGATTCAACGAGATTTTAGGTCGGGCACAGTGACCTCGTTGAATCCGAGTTCCACTGTAGAATGCTATTATTGCAGATGAAATTAGCACTAACAAGAAAATGACAGAAGTTAGTACAATTTTTACAAATCTTTTGATAATTAGCTGCAAAGAAGTAGTTGCTGTGAGGTCAGAAAATAAATAAGAATGTTAATTTACCGCCGACAAGTGCACTGCAATCTTAAGATTGGGCTGCGCATTTTAGCAATCGTATAATGCGCAACTATCTGAAGATTGCGCTAATGTTGCATATTTTTTAAATAATTTTTTTGTTTAATTCACTTCCATCTTTATTCTTTTACTCACATCAAGGTATATTTTCAGAAGTGTGAAAAGATGAAAATTAAAATTAAGATATGAAACTGAAGGGCTCACAAGAATGATACAATTGTATGGTCGTTAAAACGCGCTGTGCAATCTTAAGATTGCTGTGCAATTATACAATCGTTAAAATGCGCAGCTTAAGATTGCGCGGAACATTGATATTCACAAGTGACCCCAGTTGCCATACCTATAGAATTGGCTTCGTATGCAGTTTGATAATGTAAAGAATAAGTTTGTTTAAATCAGCTCTGAAAATGTTTTCTGCAACCTGGTTGGGTTTTTTTTGGTAAGTTCTAAATCTTTATTTTGGAACAGACATTGTGTCAACTGTGTAAAGGCACTAAAAATTCTCTGTAGATAGTTGGGTTGTTGTTTTTCTATCAACCTTCATTAAACAGTCATGGGTTCTTGGAAATATCCGCAGTGAATGTATAAAATGTAAAATGTTACCATTTATGTTTACAATGACAATTTTCTGTGCTTGAAGGCCTAGAATTTCTGTTTGAAATCTTTACTTCTGTCAAGTATGTGCACTTTCAAATCACTGTCAATGTATTAGTGCAATACATTACAACTGGGCTTTGAATTTTGGGACATGATAATGGTAAAAGAGTGAATTTACAAGTTGGCTGCCAATGACTGAGTGTCAACGTCTTCCTCATATATGTATCAGTAAAGCAACCGCATGTATGTGAAATTGAATCTGTTATGGATCAGTTGCACACTTGAACAACATGAGTTTGCTCGTATGTACTGTTTTCCCAAGTACTTTCATTTTGGGTCTTATTCTTATGTTGCATGATAACCTGATGTATTTATGAGTCTTTTTTTAATATGTGAGTGTGTGTATGACAGAGACTGTTAGTGTGTTTGTGTGTAAAAAGAAACTCAGAGAGAGAGAGGGGGGGGGGGTGGCTCTGTGTCTTTTTGTGGTGAGGGAGAAGAGAAAGAGAGAGATTTTCCCTGTGATTGGCAAAAGTGTCAAGTGTGTGTTTGTCAAGTTTGTCTTATCAAGGAATGTCAGAAGTGGGTGGCAACATGGGGAAACCAAGGACAAGATACACCAATCAAAATTTAACAAAGAGCAATTAATCATCAATTTTAGGTCATTAGTCGAAATTGTGAGGTTTGCAAATAAGCCTTTTTTTCCAATATCTTATCTTTAAAAGTCTTAAAGGTGTCGATCTTTTATAGGTTTTTTCTACAATGACCTGCCCCTGTGTTGTGTAATATTATAGTCGATGGTCTTCATTTTCAGTTACTTGTAACAGAATTCTAGAATCAATAACGTTTGGCCCAGAGTGTTATGATAATATATGCTGTTGAAAAAAACGAACGATCTGGCAACAGAAAGTAGTCAGGATTACTTTTGTAAGTGTATTTAGTGTTCCTAATGTGAGGAAAAGATTTCTGCAACGTTAACGTTCTGTTTCTGTCTTTTCTTCCATGGAGTTGTTCTTGAAAATTCACAACAAAACCAAAGATATTTTGAAAATGTAAGACTAAGATCTCTGATCTGCAAAAGTTATAGAGAATTATATTTTTTCCTTTCAAGTCCTTGGATTTTCTATGCTGTCACGCGGATGCGTGAATGAGATAGAATCATGTTTTTCCCCCTTTCTAAATGCGATGCACATGAACATGTATATATATTACAGTATGACGGATGTATTTTGCATGAGATATTGATAAACATCTTTTGTTTCAAGAATTATGTTGCTCAAGTGTTGTTGTGATGAATTGAAGTTGTTTTGTTTTTTGTTGTTTTTTTTGGGGGGGTAAATATGACCCATCATCTAAAAGAATCTACCAAACCAAAAACAAAGGACTCATATGAAGTCCACAATGGAAAAAGTTCAGAACACCATATACTTTGATCTTATTTTTATTGCACAGTACCCTTTTTTAGAAAGAGTCTCTGAAGCTGGATGGAGACTATCATTCTGTTTATCAGTTTAGATTATGCAAATTGTGAAAGTAGTGCACATGTTAAAGGCAACATTTCAATAATTTTAAGGTCTTGACTTTGAATTTTTTCTTCCATTATGGTCTTGATACGTTTTAGAGCCTGGGCTTTTGATTAGGATTGTTGTATAAATCACTCTGTCGAGCTCGGACCATACTGGAGATCAAGATTATTTCGGGGTGCTTTTATATAATTTTTTTTAGTGATAACTATTTAACTGGAATCGATATTCACCACCAAACAAACCTGAATAGACTAATCCACTATAATTGTAATAATGCTGATGATAGTTTGCTTTCGTATAGCGCCTTCTATTTTAAAAAATTTTAATGCAAATATTCCCTAATACGAAGAAGATACACATATGATGTTGTTCAACTTATGATCCTTTCACACACCTCTCTGTCAGTCTTTCTTTCTCTCTGTCTGTCTGTCTGTCTCTCTCTCTTCCCAATCTCTTTCTCCTCCCCCTCTCTCTCTCTCTCTCTCCCTCTCTCTCTTTCTCTCTGTCTCTCTCTCTCTGTCTCTCTCTCTCTCTCTCTCTCTCTCTCTCTCTCTCTCTCTATCTCTCTCTCTCTCCCCCCCCCCCCACCCAATTTCTTCCCCCTACAGTTTTACTTACATTGATCAAGACTACTGTAAGAAAAACTGGAAATGATATAACGAGATGACGTTGATATGGTCAGCTACATACCACTCATGGCTGTATCTTGTCTTGTGCACTGTGCAAACCGTCTGACAAATTTACTGAACAGTCCAATGGGGCTCTCATTGTTTAGAGGCAACGTTTTTAGCTGTCCCCGTGGTTTTATGCAAGAAAATTTCTGAAATTATGAAAACTGAGCCCAAAAATGTGAAATTATGCGATTCTAATAATTTTAACAAAAGGAAAATAATCAGAAATTATGCAAAAAAATGATTAAATTTTGCTATAAATTATGCGGGGTGCATAAAACCACGGGGACAGCTTTAGGCCATTCCCAAAAGGGGGATATTAACATGTTCTTATGCACAGTAAAATTGTAAATGGGCTGATTTATCAATGTCATGCTCTCATACTGTGCCGGAACAACATAGGGGAAACTGCTGCTTTTTCTTTCCTCCTCCTTACCGTGGTCATTTTTCCTCTTCTTCTAAGTTCTTTTGTATGTTTGTCACGCTTGTGGACTGTTATTTCCGGGATTGCCTTGATAGTCGAAGCAGACTTTGTGCTGTTGAGACAAGAGAGATGAGCAGCTTAAGCCTGGTTCCCCGTTTGGACTTCTCCGTTGACATCCACCCCTTGAAGCTCATTTGACCTTATGCTGTTTTGAGCACCGTAAAACCTTACTAAGACAATTAGAGGCCACGGTGTTCACCTCTTATTCTCAGCAGGTCGCGGATTCGAAACCTGACAGCAACGGAACATGTTCATCTCTAAAATTCTTCTCCTTTCTCCTCCGTTCCAGCTGTCTTGCATGTTCTGTCGTCTGCTTTCGTCTCCACTTTCTGCGCCCTTCCTATCCGCCCTCCTCTGGGCTCCTGACTCTTTCTGCAGCTTTCTACTGACACTCATTGGCTACTTACTGCTGTCTTTCAGCCATACCCCTGATCTTAAGGTAGGTAAGATCTAACATCTAGCCTTCTCGGATAAGAGCGAAGAATCATGGAGGTCCCGTGTGCAAGTTGTGCACGTTAAAGATCCTTGGTGGTCCGAAATCGAAGATTAGGCTTCGGCCACCACCAGCGCAAAATTTAAAATTAAGTCCTTC